GAGTGGAAGCCCTCCCATCTAAAGCATGGAATTCTGGGAGTTGAAGTTCATGCATCTTAAGAATGGAATTTTGGGAGTTGAAGTCCATGATCATCAAGTTCCAGCACAGCCTCTCCCAACCTGGACTTCAACTCCCAGAATCCCTTGGCCAGGAAGGGAATTCTGGGATCCTGGAAGGGCCCTTTGGCCCAACCATAGCAACCAATCTCCTCAGTTGTGGCGTGCATGTGAGCCCCAGAGAAGTGAGGAATGTGGTGGTAGAAAATAGAACAGTCTCCTCAACCTGGATAGTTTGAAGGTGGGCAGACTTCAACTCCAACATGGCTGGCTGGGGAATTCTGGGAGCTGAGGTCCATCCATCTTCAGGTTGTCCGATCTCGAAAACACCAACTTCAAGGAATAGAATCAGAATAGAGATGGAAGGGACCTTGGAGGTCTTCTAGTCCAGCCCCCTGCTGAAGCAGGAAAACCCTATACTATTTCAGACAAAAGGGCTGTTCATTCTCTTCTTAAAAGCCCTCCAGTGATGGAGCACCCACAACTTTTGGTGGCAAACAGTTCCACTGGTGAATTGTCCTCCCTGTCAAGAAATTTCTCCTTAATCGCTTCTCTCCTTGGTTAGTTTCCACCTGTTGTTTATTGTCCTGCCCTCCAGTACTTTGGAGAATAAATTGAAAATAGACCCAGCTTAAATTGGAAGCTGGGGAGAACCACAGAGTTGGAACTCGGGGCCTCGGGGACCTCCTGGGGGGGACACCTTCGCTCCCTGGGCCTCTTCCAACCAGCCTCCTTCCTTCAGGCCATCAAGCGCACCTTCGACAAGAAGACGGTGGACGTTTTCATGCTCTTCAACCGGGAGCTGTCCCTGGTCAACAAGGAACTCAGCAGGAAGACGCCTTTCCTGACGCCGTACATGTGTCACTATTCAGGCATGGCCCACTGGATGCGTGCGCTCCGGCGGCGCGTGGACAGACCCATGAAGGTAGGGCTGTCTCCTTCTAAAAGGTGGTGGTGGAGGAAACAGGGCTGAGGGGATCTCCCGTGGCTTCTCCTGAGCGCCTGTTTGAGTTGGGTGGCCCTCAAGGCAACGGGGAAGGTGTTTTACAGGGAGCCCTTGACTTGCAAACATAATGGGGTTACAATGGCCTTGCAAAAAGTGATTTACGGCCGTTTTTCCACACTTAGCGACCGCTGCAGCATCCTCCAGGGGTCACGTGACCAAAATTCTGCCGCTTTGGCAACCGGCATGGACTTAACGATGGTCGCCGTGTCCTGGAAGGTCACGTGGTTCTCCTTTTGCGACCTTCTGAGAAGCAAAGTCAACGGGCGGCGGGGGGGAGCTGGAATCACTTAACGACCGTGTGTGAGACGGACGTTTAACGATTGCAGTGGTTCACTTAACAACTCTGGCCAGAAAGATGGGGCAAAACTCACTTCACACATGTCTTGCTTAGCGATGGAAATTTTGGACTCCCTTGTGGTCATAAGTCGAGGACTGCCTGTATTGGATTGGGTGCCCTCAGGAAATCCCTAAAGCTGCAGATTGGATCAGGAAAATGGAGAAAGCAAGAAATACAAAGTAAGAAATGATTTTGTCTGAATACCAAACCTTCTGACAAGCACAGCCAAGCGGGAAGCCGGATTGCGAACAACTTGACAGTCGTGGCAAGCAAGGTCGTGAAAGGGGGCCAAAACTGGCTTCACAAATGTCTCACTTAGCGACGGAAATTTGGGACTCCATTGTGTGGTCGTAAGTCGAGGAAATTACTTCTAAATAAGGTTGTCGCTTCCCGGTGCCCTGTGCATGAAAAAACAGGCTGGAAAAATCCTTCTTCGGTTCCGCCAGCCAGCAAATAACAACAACAACAACAACAACAACAACACCAAGGATGCTGGCAGCAACCCGTATCAACCATCAGCACCAGCCAGTTATATTTGTGATACATTTTAAAATGTTCAGTTGACTTGAGTTCCGTGTCTAATGAATAAAAAAGATATAATAATAATAATAATAACAGCAGCAACAACAATAATAATATTAATAATAATAATGAGATAAAAATGCCAAACCCAGTCTGAACATCTGGCTGACCGTGCGATGATATATTATT